CTAAAATGTGATAACGTAAAATGACTTAATGACTGCTGCTAAAATTTCCCACAATGAAATGAATAGGCCTTATTGGCTCGAGCGTCATACAGCTACAAATGCTAATGAGCCGCATGGCCATACGGTATTGTCGGTTAGGCAATGTTATCTATGAATAAAATGTTTCCAAGACATCAGTAGATCTGGAATAATAGGCCTGGTCATTCCATTGTAGGCAATCCCACGATCAGTTGCTACATCACTTCAAGCCACCTAGTATGACTCGAGTTTTCATTCAAACTCTAATGATATCCTTTAAACTACTCGTCAAGTATGCAAGTAGTATAGCTTAATATATGAGCAAATACAAGTTTTCCCTTAATAAACAGATCTGATATATGAGTTCTACTCGACCTATTCTGTTCAGGATAATGAATTTTCTCACAATGATTTGAGTAGGCCCATGGTTTCCATTGACGTTCACAGAACCTGAATAAGAATACCTTTTTGGCAGTAAGGCAATGTGATATGAAATGGAGTTCATATGATTGTGGGAAAATTCCGCCAAGAAATAAGGTGAATACAACTGTTGGCTACAAGTTTGTCTTATCGACTATTGCATTATAAAACAGTGTGTATGAGCCAGTAGCACTCGCGGTTGCTTAGCTCAATATAAAAATGTCGCCATCTTACGCAGACAATCTGGCTTAGAATCCCGTAATGGATGAAGATGAGTTTGTGAGGCGAGCTTAAAACTTCCGTCCAGTTGCGAGGCTTTCCTAAAGACCGGTCATCTCATTGCCTAATTAATCATGATTTAATAAAGTTTTTGGTCAAAAATAACTGATATTCTCGAGGCATAGTTCCTTCTTTGAAACAGCTCTTCAAGACACAACTGTTGATCAGTGAGTAATCACCAAGACGCCATAATGGATATTGCGGTGTACCTACGAATCCCCCGCAGCCTCGTCGGTTAATCCACATGATTGCATAATTGCCTGCAGCAGCTAATTAAGGGACGAAGAAGCTGACTTAATGATGGTTGTGCTGAGAAATTGAGCGCAAAACCGTTTTATGTAGTTAATATCAGCCATCTTTTGGCAATTGGTAAAAAATAAACTAAATTAGACATACTACTTGCATTATCCCCAGTAGTAGCACCGTAATAAAATACGTTAATTAAAGCGTAGTCTAGAACTCTTAAAAGCCTCCTTAAAATGTGCGTCCCAATTGTAGCCTCTAGAGTTTGTTGTTTGTTGATTTGACTTGAATTTCAAGTTAAAGTCTATATGAAGAGGAGATTCGCTTCGTTCGATCTGACCAGAAGACGACGACAGATTACTTTTAGCCAACTGTCGATTAGCTTTACTGGAACATTCTGGTTGACCTTGTTCCCAGGAGTCTCCTCCAATTTCGGATACATATATATATATATTTATTTATTTATTTATATTTATATTTATATATTTATATATACTCAAAATGTACCCTAAATCTGTTCATTTTTATGCGATATTAGGTGTTTCGTTTAGTTCAAGTCACCGTCTAATCTAGAAGCACGTGTGTGCGTCTGTTTCGTAGACATATTTACAGCTGAAGGCAAATATGCACTCACAAACAGACACACTCACAAGCTTCTAGAATGAGAGAAGATATGGACTAACCAGAATAATGTATACTTGAGCACTTAAAGATGAGCCGATTGTAAGAATGTCAGCCAGTTCTGGCAATGCGCGTGACATGTAGAGACGAGAGCTGAGCACATTTTTACGCGAATTAGAAGAGATTGCTTCGGAGACAGAGTTAGCACGAACACTTCCGTAAGGTCGACTGACAACTGAGCAAGAAGTGTCGCGTTGGAGGTAATCTGCTCCTCGTCGCGTTCATGTTCACTCGAAATGGCGGCTAACAGAATCGGGAAATTCGCCCACATCCAACTCTTTTTTGCACACTTTTCCTGCTCTTCCCAGTCGCATCGTTTGGTCACGACCTCGTGATGAAGATGAGTTCGACCAGGTCTGGTTGCCTTGACGCCAGGCCCCCGCGGATGGCCGAGACTCGATCTAAAACGGCCAGACTCGACTGTCTCTTCATGGCCTCCAAACTGCCCAGCCGTTGACTGGCCAATTGGCGAGGCGGCTTGTGGCAATGAATCACACTCGATCGTCTGATCCCTTTCCTTGTCTCCTCCTCACCGCTCCCTCGGTCCTCTTCACGTCTGTCTCTCCGGCACCGCATGTCTACAACCGTCTGGCATTGCAGTCGTTAGCCTCGTCACCTTTGCCGTCGCCGTCGCCGTAACCGTCGCCGTTAGCGTCGTAGTCGTCATTTCTGATCGTGAAGGCCTGCGATTTTTCATCGACCTCTTCATCGATTCACGAGACTGACTGACCGGCCATCACTCGTCCTCCCGACCGGCTGGCCGGCTGATTGGTCGACTGGCCAGTGGGCCTGCTGACCGGCTGGCCTACCGACCAGCTGATTGGTCGAGCCGGCGAGAGCAGACGGCATGAGGGTGTCGGTCTTGCTGTTCGCCCAAATACCACGTACGGCTACATTCGCCTTTCGTCCATCCGCCACATATCTACCCACCCCACCCCACCCCAACCCACGCCTACCCCGCTCAAAAACACCCCATCCTGTTGGTGTGTCGGTCTATTGGTTGCTGTGTCCCCTTCTCTCCCACCACGAGCCAATGAGAAGAGCACGACGTCTCGTCTCGCCTCGCCTCGCCATTCTGCCCCACGGGCAGACGACCCGACGGCACACCGACTCAGACCGGCCTGCCTCGCCGTCACCGTCGCCGTCGGCCCGGCCCGGCTCGGTCTGGGCAGACGGGCATGAGACGTCGTGTCTGCTCTTGCGTCTCTCTGTCTCTCGGCCAACTCCCAAGTCTGGCAGGCCGTCCCGCCTGCAGTTTCCGTGGCAGCAACGAGCCGAGAGGTGAGTCGAAGAGAGCATCACACCAGCCAGCCAGCCAGCCA